GGAACGTTGACATCTGGCGTTTGCGTTCTGTGCAGAAAGACACCTACACAATTTTACACTTACCACAACCTCATAGTCTTTCGTCACGTCGTCATAGACTATACAATTTCCATAGCGCTTCTTCTCAACCGCTTCGATTAGGTTGCCCAACAATACCACTACCAGGACAGCGCCCACTGATCTCCTACGCATTCTCGCTCCTCCTTCTTCGTGCTTCAGTAGCAATACCACAGGGTTTCCCTTTCCATACGCATCTCTATGCGCAACACATAGCAACTGGAGTAGCGCATTTGCGTTCAGTGGAATGTTGCCGTCATCTTCCGAAAGTGGGTAGCCGTCCTAAACGATGATCACAGTAGAACAATACACAATATAAATATTTTTGCCTAAATCGATAAGACCAACCTCTTCGCCCAAGAACATCAATCGACTGTGACGATATGCGTCGCCCACATCCGCAAGGCGACTCGAACCGATGAGCCCCGGCACACGGGTCTTCACATTCAATGAACACAAGACGTTGTGTGCAGTGACGATGCGCCGTACGTCGAACAACTCCTCTTCTGGTGAAATGGCCATTTGCTGCGAATAAGAGTCGTCGTCAGGTGGCATGGCGCCCATTCTCGGTGGCACATCGACGTCCACGGCAAGCTTCTCTGATGACTCTGCAATGGACGAATCGTGAAATCAGTCAATATGAATAGTGGTATGGTATTGGCTGACCCAAATTTTCGCTGCACTCTGAACACAAACAATCCATACGCTTTTCAGTCGTTCTTCCGTAAAGGGAGCCGTAATTCCACAGAAGCTGTGTCCCTTTCTGAACGACCGATACGTAAATAGTGAAGTTACCAAGGGTGTTATAGTGTGGGTAAAGGAGAACAGTGCTTACTTCTATGTTTCGTGTGGCCTTGAACAGGACTATGTGCTCGCTCTGTTCCCCTGGTCGGTCGAGAAACGAGCGAGTGGGTTGCAGAGGTTTGAGGTTGGCATGCTTTTGACTGTGGTTGAATAGACGACCCAGTACTACAGCGCCCTTGTATATGGGATCATGGGCAAGGATTGAGTAATCCTGCGCCTGTCGAGCTGCCTTGCCTTTGGGATCGTATATATAGCCTGAAATATGCTGCTTGATGTTGTACTAAAGTTCATTTGTGCTCTGCTATGCTTACCCAGGTAGCTAACTTCATAGTCGCCAACCAATTCCGACTCTTCACGGGTCATATGCTCTAGCATCCTGTCTCGCGCTTCCACAGTCAAAAATAGGCCCCTTAAAGAGAGTTTCATTTTATCATATGCCGATTGCTGCAGGATCGTAGACAGTTCACCTGTAGTCGCAAACAATTTGATCCTTCAATATGCGAGTTTTAGCGAATATTCCTCGTCCATTGATGCTAGGAATATCGCGCACTTCGAGCCAAGGAAAGTCCTTTTCATAGTTATTGTTCAGAATTCGGCGAAAGGTATCTGTGGGATGGATGCCATCGTGTGATATTGTCAAGGAGTTTTTTTCGTAGACTCCAAAATGCAAGTGTACCAGTTGGCGTACGTTCCATGTTCGCCAAGGCCATCCTGTCGTTTTACAGGTTTCTTCAAGAAAACATAGGCACAGGTATGTGCTGATTGAGCAGAGAACGTTTTTTTCCCTATGAAAATACAAGAGTTTTAGCTGCTGGAATTGATATCGGATCCAGGAAAGCAGTAGCACTTGCTGAGGGCGTGAAAGTGAACAGATTGAAAATGAGAACCGAAGATTGTGAGCACGATTAGTGGATTGCTGACACACGGGAAGAAGATGTGCGAGTAGCTAGAATGCAAAAAACGTCAATGATTAGACTACGCTGCTGAAACATTTCCGATTGTAGTGACCTGTTCAGGAGCTGGAGCGATACTGTGCAGTGAGAGCAATCGTGAAATCGAAGCGCATAGATGAAAGAGTAGCATATATGGTGCAAGCATTCAATGAAAACGGATCCATAAACCATTATAATTACAACTATGTGATGGGGTATCGTAGTTTGACGTGGTGACGTCGCAGCATGAAGCATAAAAGAGTATTGTTCAGTGCTATCATGGCGTATTTGGTGCACTGCAACGCCGCACGAAACGAGCTTTGTTACAAGACTCGTTATGGCAACATGTGTGGAGCCGGCGAAGGGATGCCGATGCAGCGGACTAGAACCGGTCGAACACCGACATGTCTTGAGATCGGAGCAATTTTGGGTCAGTGTCTTGAGAATGGTGTGTGTGATTTGTAAGATCATATTATAAATTCAGGTAGGAAGATACCCCCTACCAAAGCACCACCATAGGGTCCGAGAA